CAGAAGTGATAGAACTACTAGTCAGTGAAGAAAATGAAAGGAACCAAGTGGAAGAAATCAATCAAGAAGAAAAAATAAGCTTTTTTTTTATAAAGGCAGGCAAGAGGCCAGGTAACATAGATGGACACACATGCAAAAAAAAACAACCCACAGAAAAGTAGCTCTATCTCTCAGTACAGCAAGTGATAAATTTGATAAACTACAAATCTCCAAACTAAAGAATGACAGCAAGCAGTGAGGGGTGAAAACCATTTTTCTTGTGCTGGAAAAAAAAAAAAACAAGCCACCTTCTAATGCAAATGGATGAGCTGATTAACAAAGCTTGCAGAGCCTGTTGTGAAAGACGGGTGAATGGAGAGAACCCGAGGGAGACACTAAGAGCATGTAAACCAAATCAGGGAGCAGCTGACTGCATTCAGAGGGAAGAGGCTACAGGAGCACTCAGAAACACGAAAACAAGAATATGACCTAGGCTGCATGAAGCACCAGTAAACACTCTCAAGTGCAGGGCAACAGGAGGCATCTGTTCAGTGTGTTCTTCGACTGCTGAAGTGTCAGCAGTTTTACAAATACCACCATTTATTATTAGTAGTTTTTATAACCAAGGGGAAGCACCAGAATGCTTATTTTTAATGAAGTCACACAAACCCACAGAAAAACTACACTTGTTTTTCAGTACTAAAAACCCAACTGTTGAAAGGTGAGAACTCCTCTTAATTTATGGAAATCCCAAACTCAATCTCCCATGCATTAACTTTAAATCTTTATAGAAACAAAGGCTGCATATTTTGTCTATTGTAAGGACACTGAAGTACTTTTTTTCTAAAATAGTTTACTATGTCAATGAAATTGCAGATGCTTCTGTGCACTTCAGGGACTTCAAACATTGCATCAATTATCTGAATAAGTAATGAAAAGACATTGTGAATAAAATGGTTCACCAAGCCTGGTTCACAAGTCAATTGCTTTCTGAATCCAGTTATATACTGTAATATTTGACATGTTATTTCTTTTTGCAAGAGGTTAAGAGTTTTCTGTGCTTCTATGCTACACTTGCTGCAAGAGTTTGGAGAGGAAAAAACCCAACAAAACACAAAAGACTGCAGGAAGGACAACACACTTTTAGATTCTCCACTACAACACTCTTCACACAAAACAGAGCAAAGAAGGTCACTGAAACCAGAACTTTGAAGTCCAACCAAGGCAGAAACATGAAAATCCCCTAGCAGATTGCTTATCATTACAGCCCAATCTAATACTTTAAAATTCCACCTTTGACAAACTGGACTAGGTGATGGTACAACACAAAATGTCTGTTTGCTGAGCTCCTGTTTCCAGAGAGTCTCTTTCTGGCACCTGGAAACAGAGCAAGCATAAGGCTGATTATCATTTCCATAACCCCCAAGGAAAACTATCGTGCAAGATGTTTGAGTAAGAGCAGTGCTGTTCGAAGGCAGCATTCATAAACAGAACAAAGACCAAACAAAAGGCTAAACAAGTACATCATAATTAACAACTACCACCAAACTTTTAATTAAGATATGTAAGAAAAAATCAAGGGGAGCTAATTAAAAAAACACCAGCGTATATACTTTCTTAGAAAAATCTGAATTGGTACCATGAAGTAAACAGGCTAATTAGAAGTGACCACAATTATTTTGTTACTGTTTCTGAGTTTAGTCATGATTTTTCAGCTTGCTCTTTAATCCCACACCTTGTTTGAACTCCTCTGTTGTTTGAATGCAGGATTCTTCCATCAATTTATTCAAAAACTAAGCAAAAGTGACAAAAATACCACCGAGCTTTAACTCTGTATGGCAGGCATGTTTTGTCATTAGTTTTGAGACACACTCTTCTGTGCCTAGACAGTATCATTCTTGCAGGGCCAGAATTATAATTATTATACACTCCCCCCATTAATCCTGAACAAATCCACAGTTACTACAAATGGATCCTGATAAAACTGCCACATCAATAATGCTACACTCCACATGTTTTCCTTTTATCCAGGCAGCTAGACCAGTATAAGAATATGATGCTGTTTCACACAGATTTTACTGTTAGAGGTATCTACTTCCCTTAGGGCCAGAAAGCAGTTGCAGATAATAGGAATCTAACTGGCAATATTAAGGTTTTACTTCTCTGCTCTTATATACTACCCTTTTGTGAAAATACATCCATTCTCATTACTTTTGCCATTCTTCAAAACTGTTACTGGACTGATTTGAACAGTAACAGTTAATGCTGATAGAAACAAGCAAAGAAAAATGCTGACACAACCTGGAGTTATTTAAGAACTTATTTGCTACACATCTATTTCCAGAAAATTAATAAAAAGTTGCTGACTCCCATCTTGGTAAAAACCCCAAGTATACCTCGGGAAAAAAAACAAAACAAAAAACCCTGGGTAAAAAAGGAATTCCCACCCCCAGCCCAGAATGCAAACAGCAAAGTGACTTGCAATTAACAACTTCTGCCTCTCCCCTACAGTGTTGGCACAAAAACCAACCCTCCATTGGGATACATGTTAACTCTTTGTGATTACCAAACTCAGGAACCATCTTCCAGGTTATTTCTGCACCTCCCCAGAAGCCAAATTTCACTTTTTAGAAAATCTAGTCTTACATTTAAGAGAAGTCTATGGTCTCCTAAAATTGTATCACTATACACTAATAAGGTAACCCTTAAACTATCCAGGAAGAATTGTCTGCCTACAACAGCACCTTTCTCATTCCACATTTAAATTTCCAGACAATGCTGTCCTGCCTGTAGCTTTCTGTTTTATGGCTGTAGGGTATCACTTTTTCCCCCCTTTGAAAAAGCCACTAAATATATAAAGCAGCCTTCTCTTAACTAATGACACAGTACACATCTTCCTTGAAAGTAATTAATTTTAAACTTGTAAATTTCAGGTGTTTCCTCCATATTGAGACAAAAATAACAAGCCCTTCCTGCATATGGCTAAAAAAAGTTAACTGTGTTTCAAACCCCCTTTAAAATGTAGATAAAAATACACATGCCTGTGTCAGGTAACTCACCAGCAGTGCTGAAATGGAATGCAATCTCCATTTCCTCAGACTATTTCCAGGCTCCTCTACTGCCAAAGCTAGACAAGCACTTTCTCCCTAGTCTACACTTTTCTGTTCAATAGGTGGAATAAAGTAAAAGGCTTATTTCTGTGCAAAGGCTTCTTCCTCTGCATAGCAATAAGCCTCACACTGTAATTGATTTTTTTAAAGTGTCATTTAAATTATTTTGGTATGATTTATCTTTCCTTACTTTTTCCTAAAACACCTCAGAATATTAACAAGGAAATAAATGTAGTAATACTCTAACATCTTCAAACATTATCTAATTTAAAAATCTAATTTACTTTCCATCATTTGGGCTTCCTTACTATTTCAGATGTCACTCAGTGTGGATAGTAAAATTAGACTATCAATTTCATTTTTGCTTTGAATGTGTTGCAGGCTCTGCTTCTCAACCACTAGAACTTTCTTGTTTAAGGTTTCCAATACTGTTCTGGAATTTCTGAATTAAAAAACAGGGGGAACTATTGCTTTGTTTTTATTAAAAGAATTCTCAACTGCTCTCCCTGGCCTTTCTTAAAAGAAAAGGCCGAGTGCTGGCACAAAACCAAACCTCCAATATACCTGTTAAATAATATTCTGTGGTCCTCTATTAATACAAGGAGATAATAAAAGTCTTAAATAGCACTGAGGGTGCCACTGGATACAACAACCTTCCAATGACGCCAGTGGGAGACCTACTTAAGAACCAATAAACAAATTGAGCAAGTGATGCAATATGAGCTGTCCTGCTCTTGCTTTGGTGAAATTTAAAGGATGATTTATCACCGTAGGCAGCCTTATTGCCAGCCAGCCTCCACAGCCAGTGAGTCTTATTCAAAGCATGCCACTGCACTGAAAAAGAACTCAGGGAAAACATTTAGGGAAATCTATATTCTTTAGCACAAATGTTCATTGATAGAATTTCCTTTTGGATTTTATGTCATATATGGCATAAGAAACAAACAGAAGTTTAAACTCTACCCATGTCAACCTTTTAACACCTGGGAATACTTCATATACCATCACTGTGCTACAGGAAAAAAAAAAAAAAATAATGCCACCAGCATAAAAACAGCACTAACTTCCAGAGTAACTATTAGGCAATTAAAACTACAGTCATGGGTAATGACTTTAATTAAAAACACCTTAATTGTACTCATCACAGTGAAGGGGACTGAGCCTGCAACTCGCGTGTGCGTCACAGAGTAACACGGGTAGAGAAACAAGGAGAAGCCACTGGAAGGTGAAGAGGGACAGACAGAGGGAGAAGCCACCCACGGGCACGGACACCGGGGGTGCCC